GTACGACAAACTAACAGACGAATAGACCCCCAATCACTAAGGCCTACCAATTTACTTTTGATTTCATGTCTCTCCAAAAAGAATTTTCACCAAGTAACTTTACTGTTGTTGTTGTTGCGTGCCGTGGATTTGGTTCCGACTCACAGTGACCCCTGTATAGGGTTTCCGAGGCTGTAAATCTTTACGGGAGCAGAAAGCCTCATCTTTCTCCCTGGGAACGGCTGGTAGTTTCGAACTGCTGACCTTAAGGTTTGCAGCCCAATTAGTAACCACTATGCTACCACAGCTCCTCAGTAACCTTACTACATAAGATTAATTCTTACATTTTATAATCTATGCTAATTTTTAGAATATTGTTTTGCTCCACGAAACTAATTTCAGAGGAGCTCTAGTGATGACATGGGCTAAGCAATGGTGGTAGTTCAAACCCACCAGCTGCTCTACAGGAGAAAGAGGAGGTTATCTGCTCTTGTAAAGATTCACAGTCTCAGAAACCCTATGGAGCAGTCCTACTACATCCTAAAGAGTTGCTAGGTGTCAGAATCTACTCTACAGCAGTGGGGTATTAATTGACTTCAAGGTCTACTAATAGGTTATTAATCAAAGCTTGAAAAACATGCATACTATGAGCTCACCGAAAGTAGATTGTGTTGCATTTTCAAACCTAGATCTCCAAAGAATGTCCAACACTTAGTAGGCATTTAACTAGCATTTCCTGAGAAACAATAAAATGGTTGAATGTTTTCCTCAACTGAACTGAGAGCAACTCAGATTACTCTGAAAGCAGGGCTCATATTTTTGAATCTTTGCATCCATGGGCCATACAGGCACAGAGCCAGTACTCATATGTTTGCTGAGGTCTACTAGCTAAACAGCACAATTTAATATAGCACTTCACAAATACGTTTTATAACAAATAAAACATTTCTCTTTGTTCTTGGTAACAAAAATATTCAAATCAGGAATTTTAACTGTAACAACTTGTATTTGCCCACAAAAACATGATGTTCCCTCGAACACCCTCCCACTTAACAGATGTGAAGACTTTTCTTCCCCCAGGAATTCAAACCCCAGCTTCTACATGCCAAGAAGGGGATAAACCACACTAGCATCTCTTGCCCCCAAACCCGGATACTCCAAAGTTCCATTTTTCTTAAGTGGAAGAATTCCACATTGTCAGATTACAATGAATTTTTAAACGAGTTCATTTTCTCCCTCTCAATTATACTGGCTAATGATGTCAGAAGAGCTGGAATAAGGTCTCTGTGACCTTCTAACTACAATGCTAATGATTTGTGCTTATATATTTTTTAAAAAATCTCCGAAGACTTTTCTACCTCACAGGTGTTGTAGGACTCAAATGAGAAAGCTCTTTGAAAGAGATCAGAAAAAAGGATGTTCCATTTTGTCTTTACAGAAAGAGAAAATGGTAAAGCAAAACCCTGTTGTGGTCAAGTGTTGTCAGTTCTGACTCATAGCCACCTTATATACGGTGGTTCTGAGGAGCAGCTGGGGGTCTGAGCGGCACATTTTGTGATTAGCACTTCAGTGATCGTCCTACAGTGCCAAACCAGGACTAGTCTTGCTTGCTTGCTTAAGTGCTGTGGAGTCTATTCCAATTCATTGCCACCCTGCATAAGGTTTCTGAGGCTGTAAATCTTTAAGAGTAGAGAGCTTCACTTTTGTCCTGCGGAGTGGCTAGTAGATTCAAACTGCTGACCTTGCAGTAAGCAGTCCAACCCATAACCCACTGGCTAGTAGATTCAAACTGCTGACCTTGCAGTAAGCAGTCCAACCCATAACCCCCTACATTACCAGAGCTCCTTAGGACTAGTTTAGCCATGAATAAATCTCAATCTTAAAAAAAAAAAAAAGTCCTCTTAACTTCAGAGACTGGACCAGTTTGAATCTATGAAACGGGGGAAAAAACAACTTCCTACAGTTGACAGATTAATTTCTGCACCTTGGTAAAGAAATTATGCTTTCGGTTTAGTGTAATTTAATTCATACTTATTATAATATTTTAAAAAACAAGCCTTGCAAGATCAGCAGTTCAACTCTACCAGTTGCTTCTTGGGAGAAAGATGAGGCCTTCTCCTCTGTACAGCCTTGGAAACCCTATACAGGATCACTGTGAGTTAGAACCAACTTGGTGGAACACAACCAACACCAACATCAAAATTTTTTTTAAATTTAGTGAGGGGAGTCCTGGTGTGGCCCTGTAAGATAAGCACTGGACTGCTAACTGCAAGGTGAGAGGTTCATATCCACCAGCCGCATCTTGGAAATCCTATACAAGGTAGTTGCGTCAGAACCAACTCCATGGCACTTAGCAACAAGTTAGTGAGGGGGGTGCTGTCTTGGGTATTGTGACTTCTCTTTCATTTTCTTTCTCTTTCCCTCCTGTGCTGTCTTTACTTGCATACTTAATTTCAATTTAGGATCCAATGGAGAGTCACTGACAAACAAATTCAAACAACAAAACTACAGGGAAAATAGAAGCAGAGGTAGAAGCCAGCGCTGAAAAGCCTCTCCCTTCTTAACCTGTTGAAAGGCAATCAAGAGAAGGCTACTTTTTCTTTTGATGTGAATTTGTCATACTTGGTAAAGTGGAGGGTCAGGGAAAGAGAGGAAGATCCCAACAGGATGGGCTGGCACAATAGCCTTGGCGAAGGGCTCAAGCGCAGTAATGACTGTGGGGTTGACAAAGGACTGAGAGGTGTTTTGTTATGTTGTGCAAGGTCTCTGTGAGTCAGTGCTGACTCCAGGGCACCTAAACTGGAGTCCTTGTGTGGCGCTCTAACCTGAGGGTCGGTGGTTTAAACTGTCACTGTGGGTCGGAATCAACTCGACGATGGCACTTAACAATTGTTGTTGTTAAGCGCTGTTGAGTCGTGTCCGACCCATAGTGACCCTGTATAGGGTTTCCAAGGAGCAGCTGGTGTGCTTGAACCACCAACCTTGTGGCTCAAACGACTCTGCAGTCCAGCGCATTAGCCCACAGGACTCCTTTAACAACAATAACAACGTTCAATTATACAACCAATTCATGAGCGGATTTTACTCACAAAAGAGTAAAAGGAAGAGGAATGCCAATGTTCCCACGGAGGCGCACTCGCACATAGAGGGCCTGCGTGTGCTGTGGTCCCTCCACACCTCTTTCTACCTATTTGCACACAACTTTGAAACTTCCAGGAATGTGAAAACTTGGAAAACCAAGTGCTCTCTCCCAGGGCCCTACACACACATCAGGGAGTCCTTTAACAGTGGAATGTGACCTTTCCCCTTCCTAACTCCTGCTTCTATATCGACTTCAGGGAACGTGACCACCTTGGAATGCAAGTTCCTTGCTTTCTCAGAGCCCAGGACCCCTGTCCTCTCTCCTTGCGTCCCGAGCTCCTCAATCCTCTTTCCCCAGAACTCAGGGCCATCCCTCCTCGCGCCAGAGACCCTTTCACCCCCGATCACTCTCCCCGCTCCCGGGGCCGCCACTTCAGAGGCAAGCACTGGCAGTGCGCTCGCAGGGGCATTCGGGGCCCTCCTCAGCACCTCCTTACCCGCCGAGGAGTGAGGCCACCGGGCAGCCGGAGACCCCAAGCAGTGCAAAGTTGTCCAGGTAGCGCCATGATGGGCCTTCCTCAACTTGAGCCGGAAGACGGCGGGGTGCAGGGGGCGGGCCTACAAAAGCCAGGTCCCGGAGGACTGGACTAGAGCTTGGGCGGTGCCGGCACCCAAGGAACAGCCAAGCTTGCGTCCCGTGACCTCCGGGCCCGAGCCCAAGCTGAGCCTGAGCCTAAGCCAGAGGACTCTCGGTGGGGTTTTTTTTCGTGCATTTTGTAGGGTTCTTTCGGTGACCTTGTGTAGGACGAACCACATTAAGGGGTGTACTGCTGGCATAAACACGATAAATATACACCCTGCCCACCGAGAGCTAGTAGCTTTCTTTTCTTAAAAAAAAAGAAAAGTTTATTCATTAAATATGTATTTTAATTCGTGGTTGGCCTGGCGATGAGACACATAGTATCAGAATAATGAATTGGATGTAAAACGCAGCCTCACTTTTCTTAAGACGCCTAGGGACCCCAGAGAACAAAGTAGATCTGCTCCATAGGTTTCCCAAACGAAATCTTTACAGGAGCAGAAGGAGCAAACTGCCTCGTCTTTCTCCCTAAGAGCGGCTGATAGATTTGCACTGTTGAGTTTGCTACTAGAAGCTTAACGCTTAACCAGCTGCGCAAACCTGGTTCCTTTCAAGGCAAAACCCAAATCCATTCTTAAGGCAAAGCGGCTGGAATTGAGTAAAAGCTGCAGCTACCGGTACCTAAGATTTTTTAGCGGGACACACCGCCCCCTATCGCAGAGATATGGTAGGGCTCCAACCATCCAGTTGTTTTTTTGTTGTTTTGTCCTGTTTGGGTTTGGGGTTTGCTTTTGTTAATGCTTTCTGAGGAGCTCTGGTGGCTTCTATGAGTTGGAGTCAATTCGATACCAATGGGTTTGAGTACCGCAATGGGTAATCTCTCCACTACAAACCAAAAGTCCTAGAAGCCATCCAAGAAAGATGTCACAGCCTTAGAGATCCTATGGGGCAGTTTTGCTCTGTCCTATGTTGTTGTTAAGTGCCGTGGAGTAGGTTCTGACCCATAGCGACCCTGTATAGGGTTTCCGAGGAGCGACTGGTGAGCTTGAACTGTCGACCTTGAGGTTCAAACCAACTTTGCAGTCCCAGGCAGTAACCCACAGCGCCATATCAACTCTGTCCTATACAGAGTCCCTGTTAGGATTGATAGCAATGGGTTTGGTGTTTTGTTTTCTGGTTTCTCTCTCTCGCTCAAAGGAATCAATATACACTTAACCGCAATATCATTGGATGGTGCAAATGATTAACCTGTTGAGCTGCAAACCAAAGGTTGGAAATTTGAGTCTACCCAGAGGCAACTCAGAAGAAAGGCCTGATGATCTACTGTTGAGAAATCAGCCATTGAAAAGGTATGTAGCATAATTCTACTTGGACATGCATGAGTTGAAATCAACACCACAGCTATTAGTTTTTTTAAGAAGATGCAGACCCTCAGTATAGAATTTTCCATCTCACCATTATTCTTATGCGTGTTGGAATTCTGCATAAATTCCAATCATATTTCTTTCATCATTTATAAAATGTGGATAATCATACCTACATCGGGATTATTGTGCTGATAGCAGGTGACTTTAAGAGTTTACTATGTACCTGGTTTGTTTGTTTGTTTTGAAGAGCTGAGAAAGGGGCTAGGAGAGCAGTCCCTAACATGCAGAATTTGGGAACCCGACTTGGAGCTCACAGCTGTGCATTGTTTTCTGGTTGATTCTGACTCATAGTAACCATATAGGACTGAGTAGAACTGCACAATCGAGTTTCCAAGACTGCAATTCTTATGGAAGCAGACTGGCACATCTTCTTCCTAAAGAGCAAGCACTTAACCACGGTACTACCTGGATCCCTTAGCACTTACAGGCCGTATTATTCTATTAGACATCAACCACTTCAGAGAATATCAACCCCCTGTAAGTTTACTCTGAGACCATGATAAAATGAGCCAAAGCAAGACCACTTCACAATTTTATCTAAGCATAGACAAAACAAGGTCACTCTGCCACCCCCAGAATACCAAACTGTTCCTGTTTCTGAATTTGGCAGACACCTAGACACCACCACTTCTTGAATGTGGCCACCTCCTATTCCTATCATCAGGCAGTAGCTTTGATGTCATTTTCTCCTGCAAAGTTTCCCTTGATTATTCAGCTCCCTACTAAGGTACTTCAAGGCAAAATTCTCACCTGCTATTCAGGAGCCCTGGTGGCTTGGTTGAATAAGCATTGAGCTGTTAACCACAAGGTTGGCAAGCAGTTCAAACTCACCAGCTGTTACTTGGAAGAAAAATGAGTCTGTCTGCATCTGAAAAGATTCACAGTCTAAGAAATCTTATGTAAGGTCACTGTGAATTGAAATTGACTTAGTGACAGTGGGTTTATGCAGGTGTTAAGACTCGCAGCTAATGTGCCTCAAACACATTCACCACTCATCTGTCATTGGAAGTTTGTGTCTTTCTCCCAAGGAGCAGCTGGTGAGTTTGAACAGGTTTTAGCAGAGCTTTCAGACTAGTTTCCATTTCTCTAATGAAGAATAGAAATACGCTGCCAACCACGAAGTCCTAGATACTGGAAATATTTATAATCCTAGATACTAGAAAGATGCTCAATAACATATGTAAAGGTATAGGTTTGAGTCTAAGACAAATCTGTATTTTGAGCCAAAGTTCACTTTATAGGCTGCACATCACAAGGTTTTTGCTAAATGGTTTATGTTAAAACTTCAAGAATTGGTTCCAGTCTGGAGCTGAAGGGATACAAAGAAAGCTCATTGAGAAGAAGACATGATTAAATTCTTTTCTGCTACACAGTGGATTGCTGTAACTGAGGAAAATAAACTTTTATCTGTTTGATTGTCCTCATCCATAATATCAGGGTGTTGGTGTAAATTATCTCTAAGATCACTTGTAGTTCTGAAAATCTGTGATTTTACAAATAAACTAGATTTGGCAGTATTATTATTATAGGCCACCTGGTATGGTACTAAGGAGGTCATTGTAAAATTCTGTTAAGATAAAATAGTTGATAGATAAGCCTTTCTTTAGAATATTGGCTCATATATTTATGGTGTTTGAATAATTCATCCAATTTACACATTTTAGATGATTATTAAGCTTCACATTTTCAAAGTGCTTTGCAATCATTAATTAGCTTCTTGAACGCCTTCTGGGAGTCTAATTCCTGCCCCTATTACATAGGCTAGCTTCTTCTATGTCTATAAAGTCAACTCTTACACTTTGAAATTTTAGATCTTGCATTCTTTTATATTCCTTTTTCTTTTCTTTAGGTAAATTATGGCCAAACAACATGACTCAATTAATTTTACTAATTATGCACAGATTAATTTTATATATAATGCTATTCCCATATAAAGACAAAACACTTATGATATATTTAGAAGTTAAATTATTTGTTCCACTACAATAATGAATTTGGGTATGTTTTCATTAGATTCCGTTTCAACTTATAGCGAACCTATGTACAACAGAACAAAACACTGCTCGCTCCGGGGCCATCCTCACAATCATTGCTTTGCTTGAGCTCATTCTTGCAGCCATTGTGTCGAACTATCTCATTAAAAGTCTTCCTCTTTTCTCTGACCTTCTATTTTACCAAATATGAGGTCCTTCTCCAGGAAGTAGTCCCTGCCGAACCAAAAATAGAACTATCAGGTAGTCTTCAGAAACATAAGAATGAACGAATGAACGTGGAGTTGACAGCAGTCCTGCATGCTTCTCATTCCCCTCCACATAAAGTCACCTTCCCAGCTCCAATAGAAGAAAAAGTGGCACTGAGGTGCAAAAGAGAATTAATGAGTAGTTAGGTTCAACAAACACTTGTTATGTGCCTGCCATATGTTTATCATTGTGGTAAACAATTCTTAGAGATTATATGTATATATCTAGCTGCATGTCACATGCAGATGTGCCTCACACTTACAGGCAGCCATGAGACACATATACCACTGGCATCATTGTATGGGTGCTACATTCATCTGTGATTGAGTTGGGCCAATTACATGTCAGCAAAGAGCAATTGATTATACTATCTATAGCAATTAAGGAGCTCTGGTAGCATAGTGGTTATGAATTGGGCTGCAAACCTCAGGGACAGCAGTTCGAAATTACCAGCTGTTCTGTGGAAGAAAGATGAGGCTTTCTACTCCCATAAAGATTTACAGCCTCAGAAACCCTGTACAGGGTCACTATGAGTTGGAACTGACTCCACGGCATATAACAACAACAACAACATAGCAAATAAATATTAAACAATAACAACAGATTCCCAAAGGAGAACATTTTATCTTTCCCCAAATTATAAATGTCTGTTCTCATATTTGGAGTCCTGGTATGGCGCTGTAGGCTAATGCATCAGACTACAAAGTCATTTGAACTGCAAGGTCGGTGGTTCAAGCTAACCAGCTGCTCCTTGGAAACCCTATATAGGGTTGCTATGGGTCAGAATCGACTCAACCGCACTTAACAACAACAACAACAATTCTCATATTTAGAAGCCCTGGTGTGGTGCTGCAGGATAGTGTACTAGACTGCAAGGTCAGTTTGAACTGCAAGGCTGGAGGTTCAAATCCACCAACCACTCCTTGGAAACCCTAGAGAGGAAGTGACTCAACAGCACTTAAGAGGAACAACCGTCTTACGTTTGCACCTCTCACAGATTGCACTGCAATGGAAAGAACACAAAAAATTTCCACAACTGGACCAAAAAAATAACATCATGATAAGTGGAGAAGAGATTGAAGTTGTCAAAGACTTCATTTTGCTTGGATCCACAATCAATACTCATAGAAGCAATGGTCCAGATATCAAATAATGAAATAGACTGACAGAATGGCAACAAAAATGGACTTAAACATAGCAACAATTTTGAGTGTGTCGTTCTGTTGTGCAAAGGGTCACTATGAATCAGAACAGACTCGAAGGCACCTAACAACAACAACATTCTCACATTACTGGAGTGCCAAGGCATGAAATCTCTATACTAGGCAAACCCAGACCTCTTATCCTACACAAGAATTATAGCTTCTTTAGTTCTGCTGGTGAGCTTCCTGCCCAGAGTTATCGAGCTCTCTCCTGCTGTAGGAAGACTGGGCACACTCAGGCCTGCACAGAAGTGTTACAAGTCTGTTAGCTCCACTGTCATTCCTCCTGTCCAAAGATAAGCAGCTCTTGCTCTGCCTTGTGGACCAGACAGGTTCACAACCTCAGCATTCACTCTTGCTTCTGAGTCTAGGAGGTTCTCAATGCAGGCACCCCAGCTCCTTGATCCAAAGGACAGGATCTGCTCTAGATTCTTCTTCTTGATGATAGTGAGGTCTGCCTGAACCTCCATGGGATTAGCTTTCAAAGCTTAACAGGTCAGCAAAACTGACCAATTCCTTTGGCAGGCCACAGTCACTTAATTTGCATGGACCAGGAAAAGTTTTTCACATCTTATTTGCATAATGCCAGCCAGTCATTTTGTGGGAATTATAAGACCATGACTCATAGAAATCCAAAAGTGATTTAGACAGTTGGAACACAAAAATGACCTAGATACAGTCTGTGCCTTCAAGGAACTAGAGTAGTATCTCAAGTTTAGGGTTTTGGATCATATCTTATTTAAGCCTATGTATGTATAAGAGGTTGCCTGTCTTCCAGTGGAGGCTTGTGTACTGACACGATGTGGAACAGATTTCAGCTGAATTTCCAGACTAAGAAGAACTAGAAAGAAAGGCCTGATCATCTACTTTTGATAATCAGTCCATGAAAACTCTATGGATCACAATGGTCAAACCTAAAACCAATTATGGGGATGGCATGTAGGACCAGGCAGAATTTCCTTCCATTGTGTATGGGGTTGTCATGAGTTGGGGCCCAACTCAAAGGTAGCTGACAACATGAAAAGGGGCTTCAAAACTTACATGGGAAAAAGGAATTAAAACATTGTGAAATTTTTCCATGAACTTTTTGAAGTCCCCCTTTGTATTTAAGAGGAAACTGAGATACCAATGTTAGTTACTATCTTAGATATTCAGTACTTACTGCTTCCACAGAAATACCATACTTCGAGTGTAGAGTGCTTTAGCAAATAGAATTTTAGTCTCTTGCAGTTTAAGGACTGTTACAATATCAGTTTGAAGACTAAGGAGCAACTGACCCAAGCCATGGTATTTTCGATAACCTTATATGAATGCAAAAGTTGGACAGTGAATAAGAAAGACCATAGAATAATTGATGCATTTTATTTATGGTGTTGGAGAAGAATATTGATAGTATCATGGACTGCCAGAAGAACACGTCTGTTTCAGAAAAAGTACAGCCAGAGTGCTCTGGTAGCATAGTGGTTATGAATTAGGCTGTTAATCTCACCATCAATGGTTCGAAACTACCAGCTGTTCCGCGGGAAAAAGATGAGGCGTTCTGCTCCTGTGAAGATTTACAGCCTCAGAAACCCTGTACAGGGTCACTATGAGTCAGAACTAACTCCATGGCACATAACAACAACAACAACAACAACAACAACCACAACCAGAGGGCTGTAGTTCTTAGAAACCAGGATGGTGAGACTTCATCTCTCATATTTTAGACATGTTGTCAGGAGGGACAGTTCCTAGAGAAGCACATCATGGTTGGTAAAATTGAAGGTCAGTGAAAAAGTAGTATACCCACAACGTGATAGATTAGCACAGTGGCAGCAGCAATGGGCTGAAGCATAACAACAATAACAACAATTGTAAGACTGGTGCAGGATTGGGCAGTGTTTCATTCTGTTGTGCATAGAGTCACTATGAGTTGGAACTGACTCGACAGTAACTCACAACACAACAACAAGCATTTTAGAAGACTAGAGTTTCAAATTCAGAGCGCCGACTCTAGGAGAAGACTTCCTCCATCAGCTCTGAGGAAAGGTCGTTGTCTCGCTTCAGCATCTGTAAGTCCAGCATTCCTTGGAGACCCTCCTGAGTCTTGACATTTTTCTTTCCCTTGGTTTAGGAGCTTCTTTTTTCTTGGTGGTAATAGGTTCCCCCTTCTCCCTCCTTTTATCTCTATAAGATAAAGATATTGCAGGCCACACCCCTTGGAAACTGCCTGGGAAACTTCCATCAGGGTTGTGAAGGAATTAATGGAATTTCAGCCCACCCTTAATCCTATCATTAGTTTGTCACACCAGATCACATCATGGGGAATCATTACATGACTGCTGCACTACATCGCTGTTGTTAAGTGCCATTGAGTAGGTTCAGAATCAAAGTTACCCTGTATAAATTTTCCAGTGGGCAGCTGGTGGATTTGAACTATAACCTTGCAGTTAGCAGTCCAAGCTTAACCTACAGTGCCACACCAAGACTCTACATTACATCATTATATAACTGTCAAAACACTAAGAAACATGACCCAGCCAAGCTAACACACAGCTTTTCAGGGTACACAATTCAGTCTATGACAGTTGCCCATTGTGTTACCTTAAGAAAATTAAAGCCCAAGTCTTTAACTCATGCTTTAGCTTAACACTTCATTGTTATTGTTATTGCTCTCTAGTAGGTTCTGACTCATAGCAACCCTTGTAGTGATTTTGAGGAGTGACTGGTGGATTTGAACTTCCAACCCTGTGATTAACAGTTCAATGCTTATCCTATTTTAATGAAAATTTTAGTTGACAAGACAGTCTTTAAAATGTTCTTAAACAGAGCTTTGTAACACTTACCAGTGTAGGACAGAGGCCTAGAGGCCTCGTGGCTGAAAGGCCGAAGACAAGAGCAAGGCGTGTCTGCAGAAAAGAGGAGTTCCTCATTAGAAAACTGCTGCATCCTGAGTTGTTTCGGATCCTGAATTATACTCTGTTCATTACCCTGATTGTTGCTGTTGTTATAAAGTGCCATCAAGTTAGTTCCAACCCATAATAAACCTGCATAGGTTTCCAAGGAGCTGCTAGTGAGCTTGAACCACTGACTTTTTGGTTCAAATTGACTTTGCAGTGCAGTACATTAGCCCGTAGTGCCACACCAGGACTCCTAATAGACACCATAATTAAATCTTTTCCCAATGCCTAGCACAATATGTGACATAAACGGCAAACTGGCATGAATAAATAAAGGAATAAACATATAGTAAAGGTAACTCCAAAAGAACAGTTGCTCTAGGACAAGTCACCTTCCACGTTGTGAAGCCTCTTGCCAAAAGCCATGTGAGTGAATTATGTTGGAAATAGATTCTCCAGTCTCAGTTAAGCCTTTAGATGACTGAAGCCCCAACTTCTTGACTGCAACCATGATACTCTGAGGTAGGACTACCCAGCTACACTACTCCATTAGAGGCCCAAAGAAACTGACATAATCAATGAGTTCTTTGTACTAAATCACTAAGTTTTGAAGTAATTTATTATAAAGAATAGATAACAAATACAAGGGTCCCAAAAAGTTTGTCTGTGAGTTATAATTACTGAAATTTACCAAATTAGACATTAGAACTGAGTTTTAAAATATTTTTGTAGTAATTCAATTAAAAACAACAGTAATAAACATGTTAACAAAAAATATTTTCTGAAAGTCATTATTTTGCCAAACAAAAATTATTTTATAAGAAGAATGGTACTGTTTCACATTTTTAGAAATCTTCATATCTGGCTTAGTAGAAGACACATGGATTCCTGTATCTACTTCTGCATTTAATCTGTTGTGAAATCACAGATCCTATGATCTCTGGGAAATTCCACTGTACACTGATGAGAGAGTGAGAGAGAAAAAGACAGCTGATCTAGTCAAAGTTCTACATCATATCCACAAGTGGATATGTAATTCCCAAGAGAATTCACTGCTCCCTAAAACATCTCTGAAGTTTAGAAAGTCCTCCCTATGCTCTTTGCTCTCCCATTGGTTTTATGTGACTTTCTTTAGGCTATTCAGAATAAGTTTAATTACTTCTCTAAAGCTATGTCCTTCATACAGCACAAGTTTTATTCATGTTTACAGTTTGCAAGCCTTTTTGCCAGTTTCCTAAAAGAAACAACTTAATCAATTTAATTCTGAATGAATATCTTAAAAGATTTGACCATGAATTTATTTCTTCTTGCCTTGTATCTCAAGAAGCTACAAACTTTTACCAATATCTCTACAGCAACTCTCTTCAAATATCAAGCCTTTGGAACTCATAGGCTTAAAGTTCCTGACGAAGTAGAATTAAGAGATCATTGGAAACAACCAGTGCAATTTAGCACAGATAATATTTTCTGTTTAAGGCAGAGTCTACTGCTCACAGTAGACGTCTAATACCTATGCTTTATATTCCTCCTACAAAACCATCAAACTTCCTTATGGCTCCAACAATTAACTTTAAGCTTAGCAGATCATCAAAACTGTCCACCAAGAAACCATGGAGGCTGGATGAATCTCTGAAACTACTGGCCTGAGACAATCTTTAAGCCTTAAAGCAAAAATTTCCCCTGAAGTCTTCTTAACTTAACTAGTAAAGAACGTCTGCCTTAAGCATTGTGTGCTTTTAAGATCTATTGATAGGGGATCAAAGTGACAACAGCACTTCAAAAGATTGCACAGCACCCAGTAAAGGAGGCTTCCTGCGGAGCCTCTGCATTACGTAAGACCATAGGTGGAATCCTGAACCCCATCCAGAATCTTCTGAGGTGGTAAATTTCCACTGGAAAGGACAAGCAGACCACTCTGGAGTGGCTAGAAGAACAGAAGATACTTCTTGAAAGAAAGACCAACAAGAAAAGTACAAAACAATAATGGCAGTCTGACTGATTACTACAAGAACAAGCAAGTTGCTCACCCAGGAGACATCAAGGCAAGTGATCGGGTCCCTTCAGAGCAAACCCCCTTCCAAGACTGAGACTCAATGGGAATACATGCTCTGACTGGTGACCAACCCACGTTGGTCACCAATAAGGGGCAGTGGAGGGAAAACAGCAATGAAACTGCGAACTAAGTCCAACCACGTTTAATACACTCCTGTGAACCTGGTGGAGACCTGGTTGGCCAGCAGTTTGGCAAGACCTGGGGTCTCCTGGGCCCAAAGTCAGTGACCTAGCCACAGAGGACTAGAGTGGAGAGTGAAATGTCTAGCTGAGAAGAAGAGAGGGCATATGCACAAGAACACCCATACTTACAGATAATACCCACTTGACCTGGCTTCAATGGCTGGTGATCAGAACTAAACTAGAAGAAGAAAGAAAAGGAAAAAAAGAGTAATCTGATACAATTTGATGAACTTGACCTACATCTATGGATGCAGTAGCTCAAAAGAAGGAACAAATCTTTACAGTGAGGATCATTCCCACCCCTTAATATACAGGGTAGACAGGGATAGGCAACTTGGACATTGGCTACCCAAAATGGGGTGGGGGGTGGGGCGCTACAAAGGCAAGAAGTGACTGGCTTACAAGCTCTCAAGAAGGAGCCTAAATCCAGAGGGAGTGGAGAAATGTAGAATCTCCACTGAGTAGTATCCAATCTGTCTGGGCAGGACTGATGAAAGGAGATGGGGACAGCACTCATGTAATACAATAGTGAATAATTACTATCAGGACAGACTGTGAGGGTTGGAAATGTAAAGGTAGATGTTTTCTAGTAAAAGGAGGGGGGTGGTTGACTTTAAAGTCCAGGAGCAGAGGTCCCTGGGACCATCATGGGAGAAGAGTGGAGTACGGGACCCTACCCAGAGAAACAGTGACACCAGAGATGGAAGCAGAGATGATGACATGGAGAGATGGAGTGGCTGGGAACTATAGACCAAAAGAGGGAAAGGGGCTGTGTGCTGACGACCAGGGGGCAGGCTTGTAGTGTATACCCTTTGGTTGGTTGATGATGCATGGAGGGGGTTGTAACCATGGCAATGTAACAATATACCATAGGATGAATGTAAAGCTAACGTTCTCCCATGTAAACTATCACATAATTCACAATAAAACATTTTTTAAAAATTGCACAGCAAACAAGTGGCAGTGAGTTTATGTTAAGGAAGAACAGTTCAGAAAAGGCACATGAGAATGGTTGTACAACTTGGAAAATATAAGTAATCAATGTGAATGAATTGTACATATAGAAATTGTTGAACTGGTGTACACTCTTCTGTGTAAATTCTTAACAATAATAAAACAGAATACATTTTTTAAAAATTATATATATATATTTAACATTCTTAAAGCTAAAGGGAAAGAACCAAAGCAAGAAATTGAAAACGTATAGGTGGGAGGGATAACTGATGAAGCAAAGCCCTAGGGGAAATAAAGGAGATGGGTTTATGTTAAGTTCAAATGGAGGGATTGGTCTTGAACTGAAAGATCAAATCTGGAACTAGAGATAAAACCATAAGGATAAATGAAGTATAGGTATATATATTTTAAAAGAATTTTATCTTTGATGAGGGTAAGGATGACACTGAGTCAGAAATCATAAGACAGTCCTTACTCAATCTCTTCAATAAGATATGAAGGAAGGCAGAAAATGAATTGACCTAAGGTATTTGGCAAAACTCCTCTGGGTAACAGTATGGATTTAAAAAATTAGAGCAGGTAAAAGGACTGATGAATAGTGTTCTGTAGTTCAAACGATATTGGAGTTTATGAACTGGTATTTGCTTCATATTTTCAAAGGAAAGCAGATTTTATCAGAAGTCTTAGTATAGAAGGTTGATAGGAGGATTGACTCATAGTTGGGGGTTTGTTAGGGTTCCTAGTCAAATGAGCCATACAGTTGAGTATGGCAATAAAAGCAGTTCAAGCTACAGATCCTGATATCTGGGTACAGCCTGGACTAATTTGGTGCAGATAGAAATGGAAAGAAAAGGGTAGATTCTCCAGTATTTCATACCTGGTTAGATTTGAAAATGTACCATGAAATGGAGATGTCCATTGGTCTTAGAGAAGAGTAAAGATGAGTTGGATTTGGAATGAAATCCGTCTTAATCATTAGTAGTACTAGGATCCAAGGGAATGACTGCAATTTAAGAAACTACAAATGAATGGTCCTACATATTTGGTTGGAGTCGTGGTGTGGTGCTGTGGGTTAATGAGGCAGACTGCAAAACCGTTTGAACTGCAAGGTCGGCGGTTCAAGCTCACCAGTCGCTCTTTGGAAACCCTATATAGGGTCGATATAGGTCAGAACCGAATCGACGGCACTTAACAACAACAACATATTTGGTCAGTATTTTAATGTCTTTAATTAGAAACTACCCTTAGTTACTTTGGAGATAATTTAAAACTTTTTCATTCACAATAAGAGAAAGTAAATAATCATACATTCTCAGACTAGTACTTGATACCCTTTGGTTGTTAGCTGCCCATGGGTTGGTCCCCAACTCATGGGAGCCTCACGTGTGACAGAGTTGTTGTTATGTGCCGTGGTGTCGGTTCCGACTCATAGCGACCCTGTACAGGGTTTCCGAGGCTGTAAATCTTTACGTGAGCAAAGAGAGACTGTACTAAATTAAGTTTTCTTGCTGTAATCTTTATAGTAGCAGACCACTAAGCCTTTCTTCCGTGGAGCCACTGGGGAAGTTCAATGGTCAGCCTTTGATTTAACAGGGCATTGCAAACCAGGACACCATCCAGGCGTCTTCTCATACCACTCTTTGAAACAGGCACTTTCCCGTCCAGACGGCGCTGTTCCTGTCCTAACCACCAGATGGCGACGGGGTGTTCACATCCCACTCGTGCTTTCGTTCTCAAAAGCAGGCGCCGCTCCGGAAGCCCGGGAGCGCGCACGTCCCGGACTCGCGTCTACTGCTGGCGCTGGTGACGTGCAAGCGGTCCGCTGCAGTTACACCGCCGCTCGACCGCCTCATCCCTGAGCATCTGGACCTATGTGGAAGCTGCTCCCGTCCACGGGCCCGGCCCGAGGTAAGCGTGAGAGACGCATCGGGGGTCGTTTGCCCGGAGCGTCTGCCGAGGGACGGAGTTTGCGGAACGGTGCTTCCGCTCCGCTCTTGCCCTTCTTGCCGCCGCCTCCGTTCCCGCCCTGGGAGCTTGCGGAAGCAGAATGAGGGGAAATGACGCATATTTTGGTGTCCAGGAGTTGTGTGGCCCTCCCGCACGGAGCGGTGACTTCTAAACAGGTTCCAGACGGGACGGTGCGAGGAGATGCGGGGCGACAGTGCCTGCGATGACTATTAAATCCTCCCATCTCGTCTAAATTCCCGCTGGCTCTGAGACCAGCTCCGCTGGGGATGGTTTCAACCCGAGCCCTTCATGGCCTGCTGTGACAAACCGTGATTTAAACTTTTAGGGAATACAAGTTCGTCATAAGTTACTACATGTGCCGGAACACAGGATGGTGATTCTGTCTGGAACACATTCTTTTTGACTTGGGGACATGGCAACCATTGGAACACAAAAGTTGTTTTATTCACTCGCTTTTGCATTTGTCAGGACAGCTGAAAAAGCGATGAGGTGGTTTTCTTTTTTGCATGTGCAGCAGCGGAAAATGGTTATCACAAATGAACTGGTTGCTTAGTGTTTTTATGTCATTGTTGATAGGGTATCAGGTCTGTTATAGTGTGATTGAAATAAATAAGGTCTATGTAGATGCCAAATCGAGTGACAATATAAGACAGTATGCAGAGGACTAAGCTAGTGGTAGGGAAAAATAAAAACAGTGATCTTAAAGATACAGCCCTAGCTGTGGCTAGGAATACCCACAGATGTGGTACATAAACTTCAAGGTGATGAGTACATAGGACTCAGTCACTTTGCAGGATCACATAATGTATTTAGCTCTTTAGGTACCTGTAGGATGGTTACGATGGTTTTTGTTGTTAAGTGTCATCACCCAGTTCCAATTCATAATGACCCTGTCTAGGATTTCCAAGGAGTAGAAGGTGGGTTCGAACCAACAACATTATGGTTTACAGTCTGGTGCTTATCCTACAGCACCATACCAGGACCTATAAGATGGTTGTTGTTAAGTGCCGTTGAGTCATTTCCAACTCACAGCCACCCTGTATAGTTTCCGAGGAGCGGCTATTGGGTTTGAACCACCCACCTTGCAGTTCAAACTGATCTTTTGGTCCAGTGCTTATCCTACAACACTGCACCAAGACTCCACTGTAGGGTTTTGTTGTTGTTGTTGTTATGTGCCATGGAGTCTGCTCCAACTCACAGCGACCCTGTACAAGGTTTCCGAGGCTGTAAATCTTTACAGGAGCAGAAAGCCTCATCTTTCTCCCATGGAATCGCTGGTAGTTTTGAACTACTGACCGTGAGATTAGCAGCCCATTTTGTAACCACTACACTATCAGAGCAGAAGGAAAATATTACCAGCATTAATGGGAAACATTCTTAACTTTTGAGGGGTTATAAACTCTTCATAAGTTGATGAAAGGTATGGATCCATTATTTTAGAAAAAAAGTAGATAAACCACTCAAACAAAATTGTGTGCTTGAAAAAGGTTCACTCTAAGTTAATAATGTGATTAACAGGAGTCAATCTAAGCTGCTTAAGTGGTCTTCAAGCTTCCTGGCCCATTTCTTACTTGTTTAGAGTATTTGTCCTAACTGTCCTGTTGTGTGTGGAAAGTGGAGCTTCCTACCACTCCCCTAATGGGATCTTGTTCTCCCAGGCTAAACTCTGAGTTCACAGCACATATACTGTATGCATATGATTTGTGACTTCCAACATTTAAAATAGAAAACAAATCCAGTAACCTTTTCCAGCACCGTTTGAAATGCTATCTTTAGCATAAAACAGAATGCTCTTATATAAATGCATATAAATCTAATGTGGACTTTATTACATTAATCTATGTTGTTTACATTGTTCCAAAACCATATATATATATTTTTTCATTATTATAGCCTGATGGTATATTTGGGAGTCCTGGTGTTGTGCTGTAGGATAAACACTGAACTGCTACTGCACGGCTGCCTATTCAAATCCACCAGCTACTCCTCAGAAACCCTATTCAGGGTCACTATAATTCTGAACCAACCTGACTGGTTTTTTTTGTATTGTATTTTACAAATGAAGCTTTGAATCAACTTATCAGGTTCCAGAAGCCACCTGAGTGGCACAAATATTTAAGCATTAGACTACTAAGCAGAAAAGTTGGCAGTTCAAACCCACTCAAGGTGCCTCAGAAGATAGGCCTAGAGCAGCCTGCCTCCTAAAGGTCACAACATGAAAACCCTGTAGAAAACTGTGTGGTCTGCATACATGGACTCACCATGAGTTGGAATTGACTCAACAGCAATTAGCTACAACATCAAGTTTCATGGTATTGTAATTTTATTTGAGGATGCAGTCATTGTATAAGTTAATGTGGGGGACAGTCTACTCCTTTCTATGTTTTGTTCCTTAAGAAGCATTAAGTGGCTTTCCATCTATTTAGATAATCTTCTGTAGTTTTTGGTGAAACTTTATTAGATAATACAAACTTGATTTCCTATGATTAACACTTAAATAACAAAACAGAATTGTTAAATATTTGTTACAACTATGTTATATACATGTATGGATTCTTGTATATTTAAGTATTTGAGAATGTGTGTATGCCAAATTAATTTTTCTCCTTTTTTAAAAATTTCTTTTAGGAGAACCATACAGACTTTTGACGGGTGTTGAATACGTTGTTGGAAGGAAGAACTGTGAAATTCTAATTGACAAGGATCAGTCAATCAGTCGAAACCATGCCATGTTAACTGCTAACTTTCCTGAAACCCAGTTGGTATGGTATAGTTTATTTTCTCTGTAGTAAGGTGGTAGAAATCACAACTGACTGCCTTGGCACATATGTAAGAGTTGTCATAAGACTTTTCATTTCATAAAGCTGTTAGATTTTTGTTTTATGTTAAATACTTATATTTTGATAATAGTAGCATATTTGCTTGTTTTGAGGTTTAAAGTTTGTGTTTCAGAATTTTACTTAGGTTTTAAAGACCTATTTATTTTGTGATTTAGAAACTCAGAGGAAGTTAGACATATTTATTTACTTAAACATTTATTGAGTGTGGCACTGTTGGATAAGCACTCAACCATAAGGTTAGTTTGAACCACAAGGTCGGAGTTCAAACTTACCAGCCGCTCCTAGGAAATAGTATACAAGATCAATATGAGTCGGAACCAACTTCACAGCACTTAACAACAACAACTGTGTGCCTGAGGCTAAACTATGGCAAATCCTGTAGTCATGTGAAACAGTAGTTTTCACCATGAGACTTGATTTACAAGAATAGTTATTGCTATGTGCTATATAGCTCCTTTGAATGACTTTTTTATATATAGTTTTTTAATCACATTAGGGGCAACAAAGAGCCCTGGACTGTTAACCATAAGATTGGATGTTTAAACCCACCAGTGCTCCATGGAAAAATGATGAGGCTGTCTCCTCCCACAAAGAGGTACTGCCTCGGAAGCCCTGTTCAGGGCTGCTGTGAGTTGGAATCGACCTGAGGGCACTTAACAGCAACAACCACATCTGCTCTCATACAGATTTACAGTCTCAGAAACCCTGTGAGTCAGAATTGACTTGAAGGCAGTTGGTTTACAGGGTCTAAAAGTGATTAAAAATCTATGTACAATTAGTTCTGCTCATGTTATTTCTGATAGCAATAAGAAGGAAAAGCCATTATTTTGAGCAAAGATTGCATGTCCGTAAATGCTGTATTTGTTCTGTGAAATTTAGGTTTTATATCTGTATTTTAGGTATGGAAAAACTGTTGAAATTCCTACAGAAAAAGTAAATTGTTGCTACAAGTGTCAGACACTAACCTTTAATCCATTTTTCACAATCAGTTTTTACAATGTAATTTTGATAATATAAAAAGAAAATTAGGAATGATGCTGTCAGGTTATACATGAAACAAGATATACAAAAACAAATACTTTTCAGATATTTGAAATTGAGGAATCGGGAAAAATGTCCACTCACTTATAAAAAAGAAAAAAAAAGGTATGTCCTGAGAGAGGTCATTAATGTAGTGGTTACGAGTTGGGCTGCTAACCTCAAGGTCAGTAGTTCAAAGCTACCATTTGTTCTTTGGGGAAAAGAAGAGATTTTCTGCTCCCGTAAAGATTTACCATCTCGGAAACCCTATGCAGGGTCTCTATGAGTCAGAACTGTCTCCGTGGCCACCGCTGCCAGCATAGTGGGGTATGTACTGGGCTGCTAACTGCAATATCAGTAGTGTAAATCTACCAGCCACTCCACGGGAGAAAGATGAGGCTTTCTGCTCTTGGAAAGATTTGCAGCCTTAGAAATCCCATACAGGGTCGCTGTGAGTTGGAGCCAACTCCACAGCATATAACCACCATCATTACCACCACCAATGAAATTGATAAAGAATCCTAGCGTGACACTGTAGGATAAACACTGGATTGTTAACAACAAGGTCAGCAGATAAACTCCCCCAGCTATTCCTCAGAAATCCTATAGAGGGTTGCTATGGCACTTAACAACAGTGAAATGGTTAAAGTGGAGAGTCAGTGAAAAAAGAAGACCCCCCCAATGAGATGGCTGTACATAGCAGCAGCAATAATGGGCTGAAACTTAACTGTGAGGATGGTACAGGATCGTGCAGTGTTTTGTTCTTTTGTACATAGGGTCATTATGAGTTTGAATGGACTCAATGGCATCTAACCACAACAACAGTGAAACTGGTGAAGTCCCTGGTGGTACAGTTAAACCTTCTGGGTTGCTCACGTCTACCTAGAGGTGGTGGTAATGTGCCATGGAGTCGATTCCAACTCATAGTGACCCTGTATAGGTTTTCTGAGGCTGTAAATCTTTACGGGAGCAGAAAGCCTTATCTTTCTGTGGAACAGCTGGTAGTTTCGAACTGCTGATCCTGAGGTTAGCAGCCTGATTTGTAACCACTATGCTACCCAGAGGAGACTTCTGGAAAAACAGTCGTCAAAGATCTTGTGAAGCACATTTCTACTCTGACACACATGTGCTCACTATGTATGAGTCAGAGCCCACTTGAAGGCAACTGATTGGCTGGTTTGACCTTTTTTGGCTTTGTTTTTAGGGAAATGAAAGAAATTTGCCTGGGAGGAAATATGAATTGCTAGTGAGTGATCTTTCTTAGTTGTTGTTGCTGTTAAGTACTGTGGAGTCAGTTCCAATTCATTTTGACCCTGCACAGGGTTTGCGAGGCTGTCAATCTTTACGGGAGCAGAACGTCTCATCTTTCTCCTGCAGAACTGCTGGTAGTTTAGAACTGCTGACCTTGAGGTTGGCAGCCCGATTCGTAACAACCAAAATAATAACTGTATTGCGTACTGTGTGTGGAGGTTAACCTGCTGTCAATTACTTGTCTAAAAAACTGTCCACCTTTTGAAACTTTCACTCTGGGAATTTTATTTATTGAGTAGTAAAAGACACTTATTTCTTGATTTTCAGAGTCAGATAGATGAAATCCCTATATTGACAATAAAAGATACTTCAAAGTATGGTACCTTTATTAATGAGGAAAAAATGCAGAATCATGTTTCCCAAACGTTGAAGACGGGGGATAGAGTTACATTTGGAGTGTTTGAAAGTAAATTCAGGTAAGAATTTTGTAAATTGATGTAAATATTAAAACGGACAACTTTTATTTGAAACTGATAAAATTCTGAAGTGGGGTGGGGAATCTTTTTTTTTGGCCAAAATTTATAACATCATTCACAGGCCATAACAAAATTATCAACTTAAAAATTAGCTTGCTGTATTTGGTCAAACATGTAATTAACTCACCCCTAATGTGGTCCTGGAGTCTTGGTGTAGTGCTGTGGGTTAACGTGCCAGACTGCAAAGCCGTTTGAACTACAAGGTCAGTGGTTCAAGCTCACCAGTCGCTCCTTGGAAACCCTATACAGGGTCACTATGGGTTGGAACCGACTCAATGGCACTTAACAACAACAAAAACAAATGTGGTCCTATGGGATAATGCACTGGATCACAAGGTCTGTTTGAACCACAAGGTTGGCAGTTCAAATTCACCAGCTGCTCCTTGGAAACCCTATAAAGGGTCGCTGTGAGTCAGAACCAACTCGAAGGCACTTAACAACAACAACAATGTGATGGCCAGAACTGTATGCCTTGGCAGACCCAATGATTTTGAGGGCTTGTGGGCCAGACATTCCCCCCTTTGTTCTAAAGGAAAAGGTTATTTATGGATGATGAGTTGAAGACAATGTAATTTAAATGCTACTTACCCCAATAGTCAACTTTGTGCCAACCGTCTTTAAATCATAGCATGTTAAATAACCCTAGACAACTCTGACAATGAATGAGAATTTGAGTGGGCCCTCAGCGCCTTGACTGGAGCTACATGTGTTTAAGTCTGTTTAAGTGAACATATAATTTTAGCTTTGATCCTTGTTTTTTCTTAACTGGAACTCAGGAGTTGGAGAATGATAATTTCATAAATTAGAAAGTTTAATAGCAATTACACATGATGTTTTAAAGTAGTACTCTGTGTAGTATTCATTTAGCTTCAAGTTTTAAAGTAGTATTCGTTGAGTGGTAAGACACTAACCTATTTGTTGATTATTTGCTATTAAAAAGTTGCCATCTCTGTAACTGTGGTAACTTATTCTCCTTCACAGAGTAGAGTATGAGCCTCTGGTTGCTTGCTCTTCTTGTTTAGATGTGTCTGGGAAAACTGCCTTAAGTCAAGCTATTTTTCAGCTTGGAGGACTCTCTGTAAACACTTGGACAGAAGAATGTACTCATCTCATCATGGTTTCCGTTAAAGTTACCATTAAAGTAGGTTGAATGCCCTGTTATTATGTTAAAATAAATTTTAAGTTTGTGTAAACTCACTTAGGTCCCCACTATATTCAGATCTTTAAGCCATTTACTTTAAAAACTATGAGAATTGTTTGTTGTGGACTTAGAAATTCCCACCCCATGCCTTTATATGCTGTGTAGGACAACGTGGCTTTTCCGAGGACTTGTGTATTAGCTGAGAAAAGTAAAAACACATAAAACTAGATTTGATTTTTGATTTAGCATTTCAGAAAATTATTTGTTATCCTTTTGCCAAAAAGTTTATTACGATGAAGCTTGTATTTTCACTTTAAAAGTAAGACTACTAAACTCAACCGCCAGTCTTCAAAGTTAGTATATTATCTCTTTTCTATCAAGTTGTCTTCCTCCAGTATATGTTTTCCATTTTGATCGCATACTCTTTATTTGTATTCATTTAAGGCTTTAATCACTAAGACTTAATGTTCTTTTAGTTTAATATAACCTTAATATATCTTCAAAACCTGTAGTTATATGTAGATTTCACTTTCAGAAGATGTGAAACAGTGATATATTGTGGTATATTTTCAGATTTTGCATCTTTATCAGATTCGGTTATAACAAAACCTAATTAAAGAAAGGCATTGGGAGGTGATTTTGCTCCTTTTAAACAGTTTGATCATAGATAATGTGGGATTGCTATAGGTTACTACCTATAGCAAAACCCAGAAATATTTAGATTCTTTTATTAGATTATGTAAAAATCCATATAACTTTAATTTAGTGTCTAATATAATTAATTAAATTAGAATGTGTGTATTTTGGCTAAGGAGTATGATAGAGAAAGATTTGCTACTCAGGTTAAATCACAAGTTAAATTTGTAAGTTGATGGAGTTATCTGTAATTAGGTTCCTCATCTTTTTAAGTTTATAAAAATTTTATAAATGTGCAGTGCTATTAGCTTCAGGAGTACTAATTGTGCTAATAAACTCACAGGTAATAGATGCATAATTCAAAATGTCCATTTTTTAGTTTATAGTGAAAATATACATTTAGGGTATTGGAATGTGGGCTGTGGAATAGGAAATCATGTCTCTGCATGACCAAAATTCCAAACCTACTGTCACTGAGATAATTCTGAATCATAGCAACCCAGTATAGGGTTTCTAAATCGCTTACAGGCCAGATAACCTCATCTTCAATAAAGCAGCTGATGGGTTTGAACCACTGACTTTGCAAAACACAGCCTGACACCTAACCCACGGTGCTATCAGCCCTCCTCGCGCCTCTGCATTGTTGTTGTTAAGTGCCGTCGAGAGGGCATGACATATGGACAGTTAGTTATTGAGGCTGTTACAGAATCTGAAAAATACCACCCATTCAAAGAAAGTCATCGAATTTTAGAACCAAAATGGAACTTTTAGAGCATTTAGCTCAAGTTTTACTTTCTGAAGAAAAGTCTTAGGCTTGGAACAATTAAGTAATGTGCCCAAGACTCCCTCACTCCAGTGTTGTATTGCACATTGTTGCTTCATTCAGAAGTTATTTTATCCATGTGTGAGATTTGGTGTCTTGAAGATTTGTTTCTTGGAAGATACTCTAAACCCGCGTTCTCCTATTTAGGTAGCACTCTGTTAGAAGCATACTCACAAAGAATTTTTAGGTGGATTATTTCCTAAAAGTTTGCTGACTTTGTATTTTCATTTTTAATCTTTCTTGTATCTTGTTACATTGTTCCTTGCCCTAAAAGACAGTTTTTATTCATTTTAGACAATATGTGCACTCATCTGTGGGCGTCCAATTGTAAAGCCAGAATATTTTACTGAATTTCTCAAAGCAGTTCAGTCCAAAAACCAGCTTCCACAAATTGAAAGGTATGTTATGCATTCTAGAGATTTCATATTTGTGGGATTATACAATATTTGTTTTTCTGTATCTAACTTACTTTACTCATAATGTTCCTAAGGTTCATCTATGTCATTAAATATATCAGAATTTCATTCCTCTTTATGGCTAAATGTTCTGTTGTATGTCTGTACACATATACCACATTTTGTTTATCCATTTATCTGTTAATTGACACTTGGGTTGTTTTTACCTTTAGATACTGTAAATAGTGCTATAATGAACATTGTATATTTTTTAAAGTAGAAAAGACTATTAAAGTCAATTATTGAAAAAATCAGAATAGTACAGTGGCCTGCATTCCACCTTGCCAACTATGTCTTGCCGGCATATAGCCTGCTTATCTGAAATGCCAGGGTCCAGCAGTCACTACTGTAAAATAGATGTACAGCATTCATTGTAGTGGATTAAAACACATGCATGTGTGATATTAATTAAAAATTGTGAAGTGTTCAATCATGACTGAACATAACTTTGTGAATTGTACCTATTGTGGTTGTGGTGGCTAGGTGCTGTTACGTTTGTTCTGACTCATAGTGACCCTGTGTACAGAAGAATGAAACACTGCCCAGTCCTGCGCCATCATTACAGTTGTTATATTTCAGCTCATGGCACCTACCGCTATGTCAGTCCATTTCGTTGGAGGTCATCCTCTTTTTTATTGACCTTCCACTCTACCATGCTTGAGGTCTTTCATTGGAATTGATCCCTCCGAAGAACATGTTCAGGGAACTAGAGAGTAAGTGTCCTTGCCTTTAAGGAACAATCTGACTGTACTTCTTCAAAGACAAATGTATTTGTTCTTCTGGAGGTCCATGATAATTCAGTGTTCTTCACCAGTGCCATATTCAAATGTCTTGATTATTCTATAATCTTTCTTACTCATTGTCCAACTTTCACATGCATATGTTGTTGTAGTTGTTAAGTGCCATCAAGTCAGTTCTAACTCACAGTGACCCTATGTAGGGTTTCTGAGGAGTGGCTGGTGGAATTACCCTACCACCCTTACATATTTTTCCCTTTTGGTTTTCTAACTTCAGGTCTTTGCACATTTCATTGTAATACTTTGTCTTCTCCAGCTGCCCTTTGACATTTTCCCTTTAGCTCTTTTATGTCCTCATTTCTTCTAGTTGCTCTACTAGCATAGTGGTTACATTGGGCTGCTAACCTCAAGGCCAGCAGTTCAAAACTACCAGCTGTTCTGTGGAAGAAAGATGAGGCTTTTTGTTCCGGTAAAGATTTACAGCCTTTTAAACTCTACACAGGGTCACTATGAGTCAGAACCTACTCCATGGCACATAACCACTACCACACTCAAGAGCAAGTTTCAGAGTCTCCTCTGACATCCATTTTGGTCTTTTCTTTCTGTCTGTTTTTAATGACTTTTAGCTTTCTTCATGGATGAAATTCTTGGTAGCATCCTACAGCTCCTCTGGTTTTTGGTGATTCGTGTCTTACGCATCAAATCTGTTCTTGAGATTGTCTCTAAATTCAAGTGACATATGTTCAGGATCATATTTTGGCATTTGTGGACTTCATTTAATTTTCTTTGGGCTTCTGCCTGAACGTACAGTATGAGCAAATGGCTAGGTCTTTTCCAGCCTTGTTTTGGCTGATAATTTTGAGCTTCTTCATAGTTTATTTTCTTTAGCTTAAAAAATGTATTACTTGGTCTCACTGTGGACATTTTAAGTTGAAAATAATTTAAGTTTTAAATTTTTGTAAGCTTCTTCAAAGAGATCTGTAAAAAAAACAGTGTCAGTTCTAAGAATTGGAATGTGGACATCATTAATACATGTTGATCCCAAGGGAAAATCCTATCTAGCACCTGTTCCCATAATTCTAGTTTTTTATCTTAAATAAAACAACTCTTTTGATTCATTTATTTTTTAAATACTGTAATGGTATTATGGAAATTAGCCTTTTTGTATCTAGATTGTTGTTGTGAACTGCTGTTGAGTCGATTCCGACTCATAGCGACCCTGTATAGGGTTTCTGAGCAGCAGCTGGTGAACTTGAACTGCCGACCTTGCAGTTGAAACGGCTTTGCAGTCTGGCGCGTTAACCCACAACACCACACCAGGACTCCATTGTACCTAGATAGTCACCCATTTATAAATTTAATAGCAAATATATATCATTGGAATGTATTTTCATTATTTTTACAGATTTTATCCACCTATTGATGAACCAGCTATTGGAAATAAAAACATTGATCTATCTGCACGACAGGAAAGAAAACAAATTTTCAAAGGGAAAACATTTATATTTCTAAATGCCAAACAGGTAATAATGTTAAAAGCTAAATTTCCTATCTGTTGGTAGTCATTTGCACGTTTCATTTTGGAACTGTGTAGCAGTGTGAAGTAGAATAAAAACATGATCAGGCCCCAGAACATACTCAGCGCCTGTGAACATGTT